GAGAGAGAGAGAGAGAGAGAGAGAGAGAGAAAGAGAGAGAGATCCTATAAACCACATTATTAATTTCTGAATTGTGGTTAAAAAGTGATAATTACTATTGATATTAGTATCAATAGTGTTCATTACCGATGATAATAGAGATATATTACATTATAACATGTATTTGTTGTCAAGTATTTGCAACAATGACTTACAATAAACATTAAGTGTATATCCGATTTCAATGCTACTGTTGGCCAGTCGTGTATTTTCCGACCGACACGACAGATAAACGCCGTGATCTTCGGCCGATGGCGTGTATGTAATGGCACTTGTCGTCAGGTTTCCCACAGTTTCTGTGCGTTCACTACATGTTAAAAAAATTGTAAATTTATTCATAATTCATAAAATATATTGTTTATAAAAATTATTTAATTGTATAATTATTGAATAGGAATCTCATTAGTTATTTATCATGTTCACAAATATATCCTTTAGTTGTATCGCTTTGGGGCAAAATACTGAGGGTATTAATATAACTTATAACTAAAAATAAATAAAAGTAAAAATGCATTATAAAAGATATTTATAGTAAATAACTAGTTTGTTAATAAATTAATCAAATCAAAATATATTGCAATATACAATAGTAATTACTAACTAGAGTTAGAACCAAAGTAAAATTATTGAATAAAACAACACAAACCTGGAATGACTTAATGGACGGTTATCTCTAAGCCAGGTAATCTTGGCCGGGGGTCTACTGCCCCCTGTATTGCATACGAGCTCCACACTACCCCCCGCTGATAATTGACCATCCAGCGAATTTAATCGGATGTCCAATGGTTTTACTAGATATGAAACAATTAATTAATCTAGGTTCAATAAAATCGTATAATAGATTAATATGGGACTAAAAATATAGCATACGGTTAATGTCTAATCGCACGGATGTCTGTATGGGTGCCGTGAAGTTGGGGTGATATGCCTGACACGAGTATTTGGCATTCAAGTCACTTCTCGTCAAATTGATTATTAACACGTCGTTATGTATTGTCTTATTGTCGATGCTATGGCTGTACGAGTCGTCAATCATCTGATCCTCTC